CTTATTTTTTGGGTAGAGTATTTGTTATATAAATGGTGTGAATTGATAAGCATCAATTGCAGCACGTGGATAAACATCTTCGTAGGCCATCTTAATGTCTTTCTCTCTGCCGGGTAATAAGAGAGCATTTGGTCATGTCTGTCAATACCGGACATATACTTATTGTATTGAACGATCGGTAAGGGCTTCGATACAATTTGTTGTCTTTTATTTGGTACATCCACCATTATGTTTCGATATTCATTAGAAATATAGGACACATTCCTCTTATCTCTCCATTTTCCTATGAGTACTCCATCTGCATACCTTCCCATTACTTCACCTTTTTTTAACTTACTGTCTTTTATTTCCTTCGGTACATGCTTTCTGTCCAATCTTAAAGTTCCCGTACAGTGTGTTTTATGATTCAATAGTGTTCTAGCTAATAAAAAACTGTTATAATAATTGTCCATATACACACTATGTCCTACTTCCAAAAAACCGTCCAATAAATGCATTACCACTTTTGATGCATGATCTTTACCACCCAGATCGTCCAGTTTTCCTGCATAAACGGCAAATTTTAAAACCATACCAGTTGGGGTTGTCAGCATGTATAATTTAATGCCATATTTATGCCTCTTATTTTTTATATATTGGCGAAATTGAAGTCTGCCTCGCCATAACACCATAGACTCATCTAAACTTAGCTCCCGTCCTGGATAATACAGTGCACATACTTTTTCGTTAAAAAAATTAATTAGGTATCTAATCTTCAATAATTTGTCTTCAGGTAAAATACCATTTTCTCTATTTTCCGTGAAATTCAGGCAACGCATTATCAATAAAAACCGATTTCGGCTCATAACTTTGTGAAATATCCCAATGCTATATAACTCATCTTGTCGCCAATAGTCTTGGACACGGTTTATTCGAATATTGCCCATGTGTAACAGTAAGCCTATGAACAGTAACAAATCTTCAGAAGTTAACTGTTTCCAGTTAGTTATCCTGGATTTAAAGCATGTTCTTTCAGATAAAAATAGATTAATGGCGTAACTGTTACTCAAATCACAAATTTTTGTAATAAAATCGTCTGTCACAAACAATCTAAAATATTCAATCGGTGTCATTCCAGTTACGTCTACTAATAATCTTTCGTGTTCAGTAAATTCAAAAACATCTTTCATTGTGGTTGGATTCAAAGAAAATTGTATAGACTGGTCTTGATTATGAGAAAGGTTTTGTGGACGTTCATTATCATTATTTTGTAACACGTACTGTTGTACACCAATATCATTTTCAGAATCCTCAGAATATACTTCGTCCGATTCATCCAAATCACCAAATACCATCTCGTCCTCGTCGGAGCTGTCATGTTCCAGTAAATATAGTAGTTCTTTTTCACTTAAAGGCTGTTTTAAATCAATTTTTACCTTTTTTGGTTGAGAAGGTCCTGCCACAATGTTATTACTTTCCGCCATTTTCACTAGACTGTCAACATACACTGGTACTGTCAAATCAAAAACCGCGCAATGTAAATCATAACCTATGATCGATCCTAGCAGGCCGACACTTATTTTTAAACTCATTCCATAAGCCGTATTTAAAAACCTACATTATAGAGCTTACAGCTATATCACGCACTGGCGCGTGATCGCCCTTTTTCCAAGTACGACCATCACGCACTGGCGCGTGATCGGCAGCGAACGAGTTAAAAAACTAATTTATTAATAATTGTCAATTTCGCATGTATTTAACAATGTCAAACATATGTCATATGTTTAACCTGAAAATTGGGATTCCCAAATTGTCAGATGAAGGCGGTAGGTGTCGCGTCAGTCACGCACGGAGCGAATATTAAATATTAAAGGAAAATAATAATAATAAATAAATTACACAAATGTCATTAGTGTCAATATGTCATAATTTAGTGGAGTAAACTTGCCTGCGGTTGGACCAATTGCAAACAAGCATTACGGCGCGGAAAATTTGAATTATTCCTCCTGGCTAAAAAACAGACCATAGGGTTGTCTGGTAGGGGAAGGTGTAAAATGGGATACTTAACGTTTGAGGCTGTATAACACCAAACCTATGTATTGGAGGCTACTCATATTTTGGCACAGTGAAAACTCATTTTTTTGTATCAAAAGCACAAAAAAGATGATTTTTATAAATGTATAAAAAAGTTATATGCAAAAATTTGACATAAATGCAATTTCCCATTTTACCCCCACTTTGTAAAACGGGATAAACCGTGGGGGTAAAATGGGATAGGATTTTTCTATGTTATGATGGGTTAAACTCAAAAAACCCAATATTAATAGGAATATTAATACAGAATATTTTTCTTAAATATTAATAGGAATAATAATGCCGAACATTTTTCTTAACTTAATCATATCTGCAATATTCGCAAATAAATACATCATCATCGCTGTCAGCTCCTGCACAAGCCTCATGTCCCCATTTTTTACAATTGCAGCATTGAATCCAGCCTTCTCCTTTTTTGTCTGAAGAATATCTATTGTTGCAGTAGAAGCATTCCTCATCTGCACTACTGATACTTTTACCTTCAGGTTGTATGTTTTTAACCTTCTTGGAAGTATTTTTTTGCGGTTTTCTGCTTTAGTGACTTAATTTTGGTCTTTGAGTTAACATTTTTAACATTAACTTTTGGTTTTCTGGTAGCTAGAGATGCCTCCAATTCTTCTTTATAAAGGGTGCTTGTTAATATAACAGTTTTACCTTTATTTTTACTCTGTTGCTTAATTTGTTTTTGCGGTGCTTTTGGATAGGGAACAACTTGTTCCGGAGAAAATAGACCCAAACCAGTGCTTGTTGAGGGCATGTCCATAAGCAAATCTTTAGAAGCTTCATTATTTTGTCTTTCTGGAGTAACTTATTCTTCTACAGGCTGGTCTTTTTTGGATTGACTTTTTTCGGGGCTGAATATGTTTTCTTCAATACTTGGCTCATGATCAGTAGGCAAAGCTGCAGCTAACATCTCTTCGGTAAAAACAGTACGATTCAGTGAGAAAATTCCTGTTTTTTTGGAAATCAATAATGGCATTTAATGGAGTAGATGCTCGTAGGTAAGCTTTTCCAAATAGGTGAGGCACCTCTGAGATAGTTACACATCGCCCTGGATGATGTCTCAGCCACACTTCTATTTCTTGCGTATAAAATGTACTTAACGAATACATTAAGGAAACATCCAAGGGCTGCATCCTATGGCTCGTATGAGGAGGCAGGCAAATTATTGTCACTTCATTTTCACGTGCTTTATCAATAATAGCAATATTTTTTGTATGGGTTTTATGGCCATCCAAGATTAAAAGAGATGGGTTTTCTTTTGACAATTGAGTGTGATGAAGAAAATGGTCAAACCATTGTTCAAAAAAGTTAAGCTGCATCCAACCAGATTTATCAGAAGAAAATGGTCAAACCATTGTTCAAAAAAGTTAAGCTGCATCCAACCAGATTTATCAGTAACGACTAAGGTGCCTGGCGATGCACCCTCTGAGAACTGCGGCTTCATACGAAATCTGGGAATTATGATCATAGGAGGAACAAATATTCCACTGGCACTCATGCAGATAACAGCAGTAGAAAGCTCCCCTTATTCTGCAGATGTTAGGGTGCCGACCTGTTTTCTACCCTTGACATCAATCACTTTTGACGGACGACCTTGAACTGTTGTATCCCGGTTTCGTCAACGTTTAAAATACGGGAGGGTGGAAAGTTTTTTCTTGAAGAGGCTCCAAAATGTCAAAAAATGATGAAACTGCTTCCTTGTTCAAACCTCGAGCACGTGCAGCTGATGTTGTTTCAGGCAAACGGAGCGAAAGTTTATTCCGTTTCAAAAAAGCGCGAAGCCATTCCCACCCAGCCAACTTGGTGTTTTTGTTGAAATGATGTTGTTTTTCTCTTCCATCTGATATGCCAAGCTATAGATGGAATGAGTTGTAAGACCGAACATCATAGTTTTCATATTCTTTGCATATGTTACCAATTGCTGCTCCTATTCTAGAGGAAATATAGGCAGTCGGCTCCCAAGTAATTTAGAATGATCTGTTGTGAATTTATTTCTTCCTTTGAACCTTCTTTCCAATGTTGATTTTGGAACTCCATATTTTTTGGATACTTTTAGAAATCCACAAGTTCCTTTTTCTAATGCTTCCAGAGCGCTGGCCATAGATTTTTTAGACCATTTTTGACGCTCAGTCTTTCGTTGGTAATTTCTAGGCATCTGAAACAAAAACAATTCTTCTAAGTTTATTCTTATATTACCCTAAACAAGCTTGAATATTTTTTGTTTTTAAAAGTCTTTTATTTTTTTAAAAATTATGATTTTGACGTAACAGGGGTAATCCCATTTTACCCCACCCGGTTATTTCCCGTTTTACCCCACCTGCTGTTTAAAAATACTTACCTTGTATGCTCAATATGAGTTGGTTCACTCAAAAAACTATTCACATTATGCGCAGGGCACTACACCTCATCTGAGTTCAAACATTATTTCAAAAACTTGTTTAAAACAAAAGTTACAGCTTAAAACATGGGGCCCGAAAATGACATCAGGCACTTGTCAAAACACATATTTTGGTCTGAGCACGAGTTCGAGTGTTTGAACTACGGAGCTTCAAGCCAAGGCGCATTAGACGAATGTTTTAAATATTTTTCATTGCGGCTGACGTCATTGGTATTCCGCTAGAGGCACTATCCTGTTTTACCCAAGTATCCCATTTTACCTCACCTTCCCCTACTGTAAACAGCTTGGTATTTTATCCTGTAGTTTGTGTGATTTAAGACGATAGTATTCGAATGTATTTGCATTCTTTTGAATTCTGCTTCTTTGGTAAGCGTATAAACGCCGATTTTAACATGCCTTGGGGATTGTTCCATGTCAATTTTATTGATTAGCCCCATCAGTATAAATTATCAGTATAAAATTGGTTAGTTTTTTTATTTGGACATTGTAAATTATTTAATTATTTCAATAGTTTTTTTTGTTACAGAACCCGATGCAAACATCTGGTCCAGCCACTGTATAATGTCATCAGCCATATGCCAGAATTTCGTGCAGAACGCTTGGAAGAAAGAGTTATGTTCTAATTGCTTCAAGTCGAAGGACGAGCACCAAGAAAAACCGAAGCCTAAACCTATCCAGCTGATATCTAGCGACCAAGTCGAAGGAATCATCAAAAATGGTAAAAGATCCAAGCCCAAACATAGTGTGTGCTTCGATAAGATTTTAGCCGAGGTGATCGGGTATGGTGGTGAGGATTGGTGTTCTGATCCGGAGGATGACGTTGATAACGAGGAAAGTAGCGAAGAGGAAATCTTGCTAGATTCAGACGACGAAGAATCTTACAAAGAATTGCAGAGAATTACTAAAGAAAATACAGATTTCAATACAGTATCTTTGAAAGATACCGAGGTAAAGAAATCTTATACCCAACTACGTCTTGGCAAGCCTGTTGTTGACGCTGCAGGCAAAAAACAAACTTTATTAGTGTCCGTTACTCCATTCGGCGAAGACACTTCCCCTGCGGTGAAAAAACTTAATACCAAGAACCTATCTCACATACCTATTGCGAAAAATAATAAAGAGGTAATAGCTGAGACCAAATCCAACGTTGTACTTACTTCTTACACGAAAAACGAAGAAGAAAAAATAGAAAAACAAGAAAAGTCTTTGTTGGACGAAATTTCGGAAACCTTGGAAAACAGTAAGAACCCTATACAGATCATGGTGAAGAAGAAGGCTCAAAAAGAAATACACCTCACTGTCACTGAATCAGATAAAGAAAATATAGAAACAGTCAATACAGAAGTTACCAAAGTTGAAACTATACAAGAAGAAAAAGTTAGTAAGTCTCTGGTTTCCGAGAAAAAAATAAATCTATCGAGAACTCCAGCTTTAAAAAGAGACATAGAAAAGCCCGTGATCTACCAGACATCCACAGCAAAAATAGAACTCATGAACACGAAGAACAATAAAAATAACAAAGAAATGTTCAATAACGCGAAAGTTAAAATTGATAATAAGAACGAAAAACCAGCGACAGATCCTAAAAAAGATATTCTCACTACTACAAACTTTATAAAAGCCGAAATACTGCATTCTAAGGTCAACAGTTGTGAACCGAAAGAAATTAAGGATGAAATAAACTCAAATGTTGCCAATTCTACAGAAAAGGCTTCAGAAGATAGATTAACAACGTTGCCACCTCCACTTCCCGCCAAGTATATACCTTTCTCACAAAGTCGGGAACAAGCAGGCAAGCCCGATGGTAGAGAAGATCCAATAGCTGGTGAGCTACCACCTTTGCCCAGAACGCCTCCACCGCCCATCTTGGAATCCCAAAGTTCTTTCCTCCATGGGGTACCTCCGATCTACGAAAAACCTAAAATTCCATCTAAACCAGTCGGTGTATTGCTAAGAAAATTGCCGAATGCTCAAACTGTGAACGTATTTACCAAACCTAACGAAAAAGTTCCTCTCGTTCGACAGGATTCGAATGATGCTGAATTAAAGGCTGGCAAAAGGAAAGCGCCACAACCTCCTGAAGAAACATATTCCAGAAATTCTAGCGGAGATTCGATGAAAGAGAGCACAGACGAAGATTCCATTTACATATCAGCCGATCCTTTACCTAGAAAATCACTATCTACAGATTGTCTAGCGGTTGACGAGAAAAGAAAGGAAAAAAACAAGGCTAGATTTTCATTAAAAAAGTTCCTCAGAATGGGATCTAATAAAGACATCACAAAGTTGGCCCCAGAAATAATAGTTAAGCAAGAAGAGGACAACAAACTTCATCCTAAACCTAGGTTGGTAATAGTACATCCCAGTGAGCTTAACGGAGATAAAGTTGAAGTAGTTGCTAAGCCGGGACTGGATCAATGCGATTACCAAGCCATTGGACACGAATATAGTACTCCAGCTGGCGACTACGAAACTTATAATCCACCGGCAAAAGCAGCGAAACCTCCGCCGCCACCTAGAAATTTCAGCGAGATCACTTCTACCAAACCTAATCTACCTACACCACCTAAATCTGTGGAGATTTTGAACAAACAAAGACAGATCAGCAGAAATAACTCTAACAGTAAGAAAACAGAGACTGTCTATGCTAATATAGGTGAAGTTAGGTCGTCTATAGTGCCTAACAAACCTGTTAGAACCGCCAGTATGCGAGAGAGGGAAGCGGCTTTGCAGCAGAAGCAAATGAGAAAGTTGGCCCACAACTACGAACCGATCAACATTAGAAAAGAAAGTTCCGAAAACGTCTACGACTACATCAACTCGACCAGGTCGAGTTCACCCGATTCCGATTCCAGTAGAGACAAGGGAAGTCCAAAAAGTAAGACTGTTAGGTTAGGAAAACGATCTGAGAGCAGCATCGATGTTTCTGCGGAGTACTTTAAGTATGGAAACATACCGAGGAGTATGTCTTTGACGTATTGTGGCAGCGAAACCGAATCAGAGATATACTCACCCTACAGCTTCTATGGAAGTGAATCTGAGGTAAGATTTTTATATAATAAAATTATTTCATCTGAGATCATATAGATTTATCAGTTGGGGACCTACTATAGTTGAAAATATCGAATTAGACTTCGGCGAAACGACGCAATGCGTTCCTATCAAACTAAGAGTAACATTATTACAAAAATTAATAGAAAAGTTACTCAGTTTGCGTTTTGTATCGTGTCGGACTTTTGCTTTGTCGAACTTTCGATTCCTGATATGTAGTCTTCATAATGATATCCGGAGTCCTTAGATCACTTCACTAATACTTAAAAATTCTATCCAACCCTCAAGCTCTCCACCACTACGTTTAAGGAGAGGTTTCCGTGTTAAAGGTATCGTCATCTCTTTTATTGGCACTATTAAGACACTTGTTGAATTCCAGCGCTTCTTGGATAATCCTTAAACGTTAAAGACCAGTGGTATTTATTGTTTTTGTATTTCAGGTAACAGAAGATGATCACGACTGGATTCAAAACGGACGAACACATAAATTACGCTCAAGAAAAGGAAGAAGTATTGTCCACAAGAACCTCGAAGACAACTACGGTGCTGTAGTAGTAGCTAACCATGAAGCTTTGGCTCAAGTACTTGAAAATGTAAGTTTTTTCAATCAGATTTTCATTGAATTTTTATTTTTATTCTGATTTCAATGCAAATTCAGCCAGATCTAGATTTAAAACGTTATTTGGCAAAAAGAAGACGCTGACGAAGTCGATAAAATGTTTTAATCAGTGTCTTATCATGTTTTTTTTTAGATCCAACAAATCAATCACATCCAACCAGCCCTTAGAGGACTGAAAAATCTTTCGAATCTGCGATGGACCGATTTTTCCATCAAATCCACCACATCGCCAATCATAGTGGGTTCCAGGATATTCCATCAAGCGCTTTGGGGTACCCAGCACGTGACGTTGGCGTTGACAGCAGGTACTACTACGTCCAGCGCGATGCCACTAGGGACTTTTAACTTAACCTCAATAAGCGAATTTAGCGACCTTATACCCAGTAATTATTTGGTTATGTCGGATGAAAGCAAAGAAGACGACAATAAACAAATACAGGGTAAGTCACAAGAGATTATTAACCTAATTTAATACTCCAAAATTTGGAATTTACGAGTTAAATAAGTCTTATTTAAACACGTATTTATTTTGCATATTATTCACTTTCATGTGTAGTACATTCTAACACACTAAGTTAATTAATTACTATTTAACTGGGAATAAGCCACAATTAAAGATAAAAATACGTTTATTGACGTTTCAATTTCCACTTCGGAAATCGTTCTCAAAATACAAACAGTAAATTAAACAAGTTTTGTTTTTTGTTACATAGTGAAAAATTCTTCTAATAATTTAATTTTATCTGACTCATTTATATTGACAATTCAGGCATACATTATGCATTTTAAAGTAGACGATTTAAAATGATATTGCCAATATTGTTGAGTTGCGCTCCTGGGACGACTTTACTTATAAGATAGTTCATTCGATTACATGAAATCAACTTTAACTTGAGAATATCCGTCAGAAAAAAAATCATAGCATGTAATTCGTCTTTAAAAAGACAAACACATGACATGATGACAGTAAAATTCTCCTGTTAGTGATTCCATAGTAAATTATGGGGGAAAAACCATGAAAAAAACCTCATAATACTATCCCGACATAGTAAGTATTTGTTCGTGAATTTAGTTTACCTTCAACAAACATCAAAATTCTGATTTTATATGTTACGCTATTTAAAAAACATAAATGATAAATATGAAATATAGAAAAATATATGAAAAAATAGATCTCAACGTGTTTGTTGTTTTGAATGTTGTTGAAATGTTGAATTTATGTCAAAAATTTTGTCCAAAACCAAACCTAACAATGAACAAGAAAGGACAAAGAATTGCATTTATAAAATACCTTGTGAATGCGATCAGTTTTATTTAGGTGAATCATCAAGGCCGTTACATGTTAGAATAATTGAACATCAATCTTATATTAAAAATAGAGAATTTGATAGATCTCAAATATGTAAACACGCATGGGATAATGAACATAGGGTTCAATGGAATAATTCAAATGTAGTCATAAAAGAAACGGATGGTAAAAAAAGAAAAATCAAAGAAGCGGCTCTAATTATGCTAAATGAGGCCAATTGTGTCGCAAATTCCTCGGCAGAATGTAGTAGGATCTGGTTACCAATATTGAAAGAGGAAGTTATTAATAAGAAAATACCAGTATTAGTAAGTCAGTAACATACAGAGGATACATCATTTATGTTTTTTAAATAACGTAACATATAAAATCAGAATTTTGATGTTTGTTGAAGGTAAACTAAATTCACGAACAAATACTTACAATGTCGGGATAGTATTATGAGGTTTTTTTCCTGGTTTTTCCCTTATAATTTACTATGGAATAACTAACAGGAGAATTTTACTGTCATGTGTTTATCTTTTTAAAGACGAATTACATGCTATGGTTTTTTTCTGACGGATATTCTCAAGTTAAAGTTGATTTCATGTAATCGAATTAACTATCTTATAAGTAAAGTCGTCCCAGGAGCGCAACTCAACAATATTGGCAATATCATTTTAAAGTCGTCTACTTTAAAATGCATAATGTATGTCTGAATTGTCAATATAAATGAATCAGATAAAATTAAATTATTAGAAGAATTTTTCACTATGTAACAAAAAACAAAATTTGTTTAATTTACTGTTTGTATTTTGAGAACGATTTCCGAAGTGGAAATTGAAACGTCAATAAACGTATTTTTATCTTTAATTGTGGCTTATTTCCAGTTAAATAGTTATATAATTTACAATGCCACAAGAAAATAGCTTCAGAACAACACTAAGTTAATATGTGGAAATGGTTAGAATATGTTTGTATTAGTATTATACATCAAAAAAACCTTCAGTACCCTGGCTTTTTGAGAGAAACGAACAAGATATATAATATATTCTTGCCTTATTACCCCGGACTGTGAATGGTTTGATCGTTTGTCTTCGTATTTAAAAATTTACACTGATATTATTTCGTTTATCTTTCAGCAACCATCCAGGTGTTACCGTACCTCCAAATCAATACTATTCATACCTACGGAGAAATTTTAAAAGCCAAATCGCAAGAAGACAGTTGGAAAGATTCGAATTTCGTTCTACTGCAGCTGGTAAATGCCCTGAAGACGATACAAGCACAAGGAATCGAGGAACTGCCTCTGTCTTTAAACACGTTCGTACTTTGTAAGGATATGGATAAGGAAAGCCATCACAGACTGTGTGTTTTACAGGGGTGAGTTCAATAATGTATTTTTTCTCTTGTTTCTTTCGCGAAATCTCTATCAGAAGAATTATCCAGATTTTCCAAGAAGTTACAAGAACTCAATACAAATTTATTAGCGACGTTCCTCATTATAAACGTCCACAAATCAGGAGAAAACACCTACCGTGTGTCTTACCGAAAAATGTTATACATTTATTCAATTTTCATCAAATGCAGTCTTAATTTAAAAAATAAATTTTGTTTGCAGAATATCCATCGACATAGCGACTAAATCAAGCCAAGAAAAACACGGTACCCTCTGCATGTGTGCACTAAAAGCCCTGAACTGCCTCCAACCCTCCACCAAAATCACCCCTCTTCTCCAATCGCTGCTGAGCCACGAACGAGCAGTTTCTCTAACGCAAGTCAAGAGCGTCCTGGAGTTCTCCTTGTGGGGTCCATCGGACGTATCTCTCGGCAGCACCATCAAGGAACGGGAACTGGCTTTGCAAAGATGGTTGGATCTGCAACGAGCGACGGTTTTGCATGGTTTGGTGTGCACCAGAGTGCAGTTAACTGTTTATGAGGAATGCCATTTGTTGTTTTTGGTCAGATCCAACGCGAGGATGATGTGTGATGCTTCACTCTTGATAGAATCGAGTAATTTGAAACATATCGTTGGAATGAATCAAAGTAGGATTGAAAAATGCGTCGGTGCTTAAATATTATTCATATAGTTGACAATAATTCACAGTAACCAAAAGGTTTATACTGCCTGAGCAGGTCCAAGATACGAATGAGAACTGGATTTTTGGAATGATGATATAACCGATCAAATTAAGGACTATCTGCATCTCATTTGATCTTTTAGTCTTAAAGATGCTACTTAAGTCATCTACAAGTAAGATTACAGGTTTTATAGAGTGGAGTGCTGGCGTAGGGTCGAAATTTTACTCAAATTTGTCGTGATGCATTTTCCTTCAATGACAACCATTATTTTTTATACTAACCAATTTTTCAGTCAGCTAACATTATTTTTAGTTCAATCAGTCTTGCCTCTCTACTATCGATGATGATCTGTTGATAATTGTATCTGTGGTTGGAAGATATCACTGCACACTAGCTTCTATTGCTGTTATTTAATCATTCATTTGGATTGTTTGACTTTTTTTTACTATTGTACATAAAAGTGTTGATAAATTGGCTTTGGACAATTTTTGTTGGTCTGCTGGAGGATTTTTTCTTTTTTAACAGACAGTTTTTGCTGTATGTGTAACTCTGTATTCCTTAACTTTTCATTAAGATGGCTGTACAATTTTTTACAAGTATACTGGTAATAGCCATTTTCCTCCTAGTGTCTAATGCTTCTCTTTATTCATGATGTAGGATTGAACGCTATTTTTTAGACCTGTTAGCCAATTTTTGTAGGCCTGCTGGTCATTGCCTAGTGGTTCTAGTGGAGTTAACTTATTAGCCGATTTTTACCATTATTTTAAATCTGTAAAGTAAATTATCTGTTCAACAATTTCCATTTATGTCGGTGGTACTGAGTGACGTACAGTTCCTGAAGCTGTACTTTAATTGTCAATTCTGCTATACAATTTTCGTTTATTTTTGTAGTAATAAATGATTTTAATATTAATTATATTGTCTGAAAGGTAAATAATTTCTAAAGGTATACTTTTAGAGGTAATGGATTTTGATAAAAGCTATGAGTCATGCCGATGCAGTACACAAGTTTAACTGTTATTTACAAGGTCATACCTCTTGTCAAAATTCATTACCTATACCACTGTTTAGGGTTACATCCAATTTTTGTACGTCTGTTATATTTTTTTTATTCTCAGTCTGTGTACGACTGTAGTTGTGATTAGAATAGTTCAGGACACACTAGGGAAATGTTTGAGGACTTCTAGCCAATTTTTGTACGTCTGCTGGACAATTTCTTTTTATTCTCGGTCTGTATATGACTATAGTTGTGGTTACAATACTTCAGTATACATCAGCTCTAAGTAGTAACGTTCAGTCATTATTCAAGTCAATGTTTTAGGTCTTCTAGCCAATTTTTGAAGGTATGCTAAACTATTTCTTTTTATTCTCAGTCTGCGTATGACAGTAGTTCTGGTTACAATAAATCCAGCTGACTACCAAGCCCTCCGACTGGAATTTATATATACCCCTCCAAAAGATATTTCCATTCTTAAAACAAAAAAACCCTACTTCACAGTCCAAAAACATTAAAAATTAACTACCTCCTCACTATCATACACCCTACACAAACTTTTCCATAAGATTTAAAACTAAAAAATCACATATTTCGCCATACACAGGATATGATATCTCCATTTAGTATTTAGAATTAACCTAGCCTCCGATGATCTTTTGTAAAGCCGAAAGTTCTCCTCAATATTTCCAAATACCCCCAAAAATCTTACACTCTAAAATCCACAAAAAAACATACATGACTATTGTGTAACTCCACATATTAGCTCCACGACTGAAATCATATTTCAAAAACCGTTCTTCTGTCATAACCACACAACTCCTGGATGGTTTATTCGTTACCCTCTTTACACCAATCCACTAGTTTTTGATCTTAGAACTTGGTGCGTCTGTAGGCTATGGGTTCTCACGTTTGGAGATATATTCCGTCCCCCTTATCTCACCGTGCTGCACTCAAAATGTACATTACACATATAATCACCACAAAAAAATAAAAGAATGATCCTTTTTATGTTTATACTTAAATGTGTATTTTAATATCAATTTTCTAATTGATATATATTTGCAAACAATACTTGTTTTATGTAAAATAATATATTTTTTAAATGTCCAACTATAAATGATATTATCTGCTAGATATTCATGTTCGCTAATCATGTTTTGATAAATTGATTCCTTTAAGTCTACAGTCCAAAATATATGAATGCAATTATAATAATCAGACCATTTTCAACATCCCTGTATCACGACCTTTGTTATTATGTTAATATTTATATATTTTTTTCGAAAAATTGTTTATACATCATTAAAAATTGTAAATATTATTATTATATATAAGTCTCTCTACTACCAATTTATTAAAATATTTTATATATATATTTGTTGTAAGTATTTTTGGATTTTTAAATATATTTATTGGTTATAAATTTGTTTTACTTTTCCTGATATTTTTCTTATAATTCGGATTTTAAGACATAATAAATTGACAACGGACTTATCGCTATCTGATAGCTAACTGTCGAAGTTTTTTAAAACTGTATAAAAAAAACAGGATTCTGTAATTATGTTTATGAAATTACTTTATTTAAAATCACTGTTATGAAATTAATTTAAAATGTATTACCCTAATAGCGTTAATATGATCAGCATTGCCTTCTGGGTAAAAATGTACCCAATTGCATATACTTTTCACAGGATACATGTTAGATTTAATACATTTTTAGTACATTTTTCACATTTGGACAGTGAAAATAGCCTCAAATGAGTTTGACAGAACGACATATTGGTGTTTGGCAGTGTTGAAATTTACATTACAAATGAAACATATTATGCAATCCAAAGCAATAAGATATTAAAAAATTAATACTTTAGAATTACCAAAAAAGAGAAAGTAGTTTTAAAACGGTTTTTAAAAGGTAAATAGTAAAATGTCAGTATAAATAATGAAGTTAAAAAGACATCGGTTGCAATCTGGCAACTGGTGGTTTGGGGGTTCTGACGGTATCGCCACATCTATCCGCTAGCCTATCAAAGGGCAATTGTCAAAAAAATTTCTAATAATTAACTGCAATGAATACAAAAAAAACAAATCTAAGTAATTCGTGCTTTATATTTGTAGAAATTGCAGAATCCATAAAATAATAATTAAAAATGTACGTTTTAAAGCATTCTCTCTTTGTATTTGGAGCATATATCATAAACATTATAAGGACATGGCAACACTGCCAACGCAATTTTCGTTCTGTGAAACTTAATTGACAGCTCATTTCGGGCTATCTTCACTCGGACCAAATGTGAAAAATGCCCCATTTTTAAATACAAATACACCTACATATATTTAAATTTTGGGAACTTTATATTTTAAAATTTATAATAAAAAGTATCTGTATAATATGGTTTGTAAGATAATACAATTATACATTTTACACATTTAGTGTTAATTCAAACACAATTATCACTTAATAATTGTGTTTTGAAATTCATTTAGTCTTTTAGCACCTGAAGATATATCTTATGCGTTTAGTACACGAATTGTTAGGACTCTTGCGGCAACATTGCAAGTCAGTTCTCTATCAGGGTTGCCATATTACACGAATTAGGAAATTCAAACAAAAAAATTATTATGACTGAATAGGTATTTTCAATACCTTTCAAACGAGGTGTCACTTGCCATAAGGTCCTATTTAAAATTATCTGTCACAGTGACGTCACCTATTATGACTAGTTAAGACGCCTACGTCTGTTTATTACCTCTCTCCAAATTTCACTATTATAATAATAACCGTTCAAAAGATACAAGGCGGGAAACGGACTTTTGACTATCACTGCAGAAGCTAAATAAATCAATATTTATATATTACATATATAAATATAGGTAGTCAGCTGAGCATTTTTTGTTAACTTGGTGTTACATAATAGGCACTAAAGTCATGTTCTGAAACATTGGGAATTTTTTTATGCTTACCTTTCCAAGTAATCAGCTTCGTTCGAAAATGTTCACTACACACTACATAATCTGGAATACTTGGTCGGTGTGAGGTGTATTCTTTTGATTGGAATATCACAAGCTTTTAAAAGTACTGCATCCTTTAAAGGGAAACACAATCAATTATTAATTTAAAAGAACGCAGTAAATGTAAAATGTTTATTGCCTGTGAAAATGAACAGCTTAATACAATTATTAGCACTGCAGGGCATAACCATTTTTTGATAAGTCAATTGTGTTTTTCACCTTAAATTTAACCATCGAGCAAAAAGACAAAAAAGGGGAATGTAAAGGTAGTGGGGGCAAAAATATTGTTAGACAGAAAGTGCGATCTTTAGAGGCTACATTAAACAAGGATAGAGAGTCTCTCTCCTTATTTGACATCAAATTTAGTTGGGTTATGTTATTGTTTGTCCCAAATGTCACATGAAATCTTATTTATATTGAAGTTTTTTAACAATTGTGTCGCATTTTAGACTATTATCGTTAATATTTAATTAAACCTTTCTCGCTTAAGACACATTCTGAAAAATATTATACACCTACTGGTAATAAGTGTCTGAAAATTTAAATTTGGCGCATTCGCATTGCCGGATATCTCCGCTACCAGAGGCCACTTTTTTAGTCTCATTTTCATAAAGATTAGATTCCCTCTTTTGTCTTTTTACTCGATGAATTTAACGAAGAGGTTTGTCGATCTAGGGTAAACAAGTAAATAAAACTTCCACATTTCGAATTTATTTATTATACCCACTTTTAAATACATATTTAAATTTACAAAAATATTTTATGCTAAAAGTACAAAAAGCTACAATACTATAAGATCGCGATTAAGATCTACCTTCGGCAATCTATTTAGGGAAGGAACAGAATTGTTTAGCAAATTTAATACATGAACACACATAGATCTTTTTATATGGAATTAAGCCACAATTGAGTGTAATGAGATATATAGGTAAGTTGGGAAGATAATATACAAGGAAAAAAAAGTGTATTTCTTCTTTCTGTTTGTCCCTAAGTGTTTTTAATTTTACATTTACTTGACATCACAACAATTTCTGCCCAATTAAAATCGGTTCATCATAATTTGATAATTACAAGTTGGAGTTATTGTACAACCGAAACTTATATCAAAAATTGGAACATCTACCTTTTTATATATTATCATAGTGCTGTCTGTTCTAGATAAATAATTTCAATAAATTAACATACATTTTCAAAATATACCTCTTGAATAAATATAAATAACTCTTAAATAACACATCACTTTTAATTTCAATAAACAATCTACACAATATCTACTTTCCTTGTTTAGTTGTTAATATCTTTTCTCCTCTCAAGAACTTTCCCCTTATTTGTTAAATAGTTACACTAAAACTTATGATCAACACCAGTTTACCGTAAGTTCGAACTATGTTTTCTAAAATACATACACATCATCTAATTTATATAACGATGCACGTCATCGGCGTCATAGCCTGTGACGTCACATGATACCAACACAAAATATTTAGGGTGCAGATGTGTTCTTTTTTAGAATCACTTTACCGAGTACACTGGCATTACAGCCACTAGACATATTTTATTATATACGCGTAGAAATCATATTTTAAAATTTCTATTAATGTTAACTTGAAGAAATACACAATAATATGTTTCATTTAATTTGTATAAATGCATTATAAAGCGTTTTTATCAAGAACATTTGTTCGGAACACACTGTAACTGTAATCGAACGAAGGTAAAATTTTGGCATAAATTGGTAACACTTATTTGACAGTTGCGGTGTTGACACTTTTTGTACTTCATTATTTTGAATTTTAAAGTGAATATCTCTTGTTTTATATTTTTAACTATCTAATAAAATCTGTTCTTTTTAGAACAAAATTAGTGTGTTTTATTTCAAAAATGTCACGTAAGAATTTAAATAGTCGTTGTAAAGAGATGGTAATGCTTTTGCAATAATTATGTAATCTATTTGATTTAAAATGAAGTCAGGATTTTTTTATACTTTGGCAACTATGTCAACTTCGATCTCTGACGTAGATAATGACGTAAGTCGTTATCTAAATTAGATGAAGTATATTAAATAATAATCCTTGTATCGGCATGTAATATTTATTACTTATTTATTTATTTAATTTCAATTTTACTAGAATGCCTTTTCACTTAAGGTTACTTTGTGTAATTAATTAATTTTTAAAGTCATATTTATCAGACAGTACCCTAATACGGGTTATTATATTTTTAGCATTTCGTTTATTATGTACCGTTGATCTGAAGATGCTTAGCAAATTATAGTATGCAAAACCGGTCGTTGGTGGTAGAATAAACTTGTGAGTAAGTCTTATTCTTATTTCTTGTTACCTATTTGACAAAATATTTGTTCATGTATTAAATTGCTAATTTTTTCATTAGTTCTGTAAATAGATGATGATATTTATCGTGTTCTTAGACTACTAGTAACATAAATTAAAAAGTTGATTAATATATACAATTTTAGAGATTCCATAATCACTTTTAGGATTATAAATTAAAAACATGATTTAACTTTTCCAATCTAGCTAACAATAAAATCTTTGTCATATTTTTATCATGTCACACGTATCGAAAATAAAACAATTCATAAACATAGAAAATACTGTATTAATGAGAAAGTTACGAAAAATTAAACCAAAAATTTAATGTTCATGTTAAAAAGTGATAAACTGAATGCACAAGGGAAAATAGAATAGAAAATGAGTTGTAACACTAAATGAAGACAGAATCGGACAAATATTTTTAACAATAGATCAGATTTTTAATACTGGGAAAGTTCTGATAAATATCCATAAAGTACCCACCAAATATGCGCTCACTTTCAAACTTTTTGACTCGAACTAGGTCATATGTGTATAAATGGCGCAGTCTTACCAGTTCCCGAAAAATGACTAAATTCACGTTCCTTAATTACTAACTTTAACTGTCACAAACGATAAAAAAGTGAATTTGATAAAGGAATAAGAAGTATCAATGTGAAAGAGATATGTGGTTATCATAAAAACCTTGGAAAATCTCTCATATTACCCCATACGTATTTAAACATGACAACATTCCGTCACCGTCTGATTTTTCTATTATTAACAATATTTATGACACGGGTTCGACTTTAATGAAGGTAGAATGTTTTTTCAAGTGAGTTTTCAGCAGTCTTTTTTGAAGAAACGACTCTGGACACAAGTCACATTTGAAAGACCTCTCCCCGGTATGCATTTTAACGTGATAGTTCAAACTGGATTTCTTCGCGAACAGTTTGCCACAATCGTCGCATTTGTAGGACTTTTCACCGGTGTGGGTCTTCATGTGCAGCACCAGTTTGGATCTCTTCAAGAATCGTTTCAAACAAGTTTGGCACTCGAACGGTTTTATTCCCGTGTGTATTTTTAAATGACCGGTGAGGATCGGCAGCTGGGCGAAAGTTTTGCCGCAGATGTCACACTTGTACGGTCTTTCGCCGGTGTGGAGATTCATGTGATAGATCAAGTAGGATCTTTGACTGAAGCCCTTTTGGCAAATCTCGCACTCGAATGGTTTTTTAGCACTGTGTATGGTTAAATGTCGTTTTAGTTCGACGTTTTGAACGAACTGTTTCGAGCATACGGGGCAGGTGAAGAGATCTTTTCCAGTGTGACGTTTCATGTGCGCCGTTAGTGTACATTTTTGCGTATACGACTTAAAACAAACATTGCACTCGTACTTCTCTCCGGTATGAGTGAGCATGTGACGAGGAATTTGCGATTGTTGCGTGAAGCCTTGGCCACAAACGTCACATTTGAACGGCTTTTCACCTGTATGGACTCGATGATGGCGAATGATTTCGTTCTTGTATAGAAAAGACTTCAAGCAAATCTCACACTTGAACGGTTTTTCTACCGCGTGATTATTGACGTGTTTCGTCAAATGTCGTTTAACGGCGAACTTTTTGGGGCACAACTCACAACTAAACACAGTCTCGTTACTGTGAGTCGCAACGTGGTTTTTAAGAGCCGCTTTTCGTGTGTAGCCTTTATCACAAATTTCGCACTTAAAAGGCTTCTCAGGAGCTTCAGGATCTTCAGGAGGTGCTATGAGATTCGCAAAAAAGTCAAAGTGATCTTTAAACATCTGGTTAAAGGAAAACATCCTTTTCTTAAACCTACTAACAAAGTTTATATAATATCTAAATACTAATTTACTATACTCAGACTCTTTTTTCCGTTTATTTCTCAATCCGTTAGCAATCTTTTTCTTTTTAGCGAAATTACCCGGCTGTTTCTGCTTGAGCTCTGTCAAATGTGACTTTGTGAAATGTTTAAAGAAGTGTTGGATAAAATCGTTTTTGGTAAACGAGAGCTTACCGCAAAAATAGCAAACTACCCAGACTGATCCGAAATGAGAACTGAAGTGGCTTCGTAGGGGAACAGTTGAAGGAAAACCTGGAAAGATGAGAAAGAAGTTTTAATGGAACAGAATTAGCAACCAGACAGTTAAAAAATTCTACTACATACTGCTCAAAAAATTCGAAAGACTCCAAATTTTTATAAAGGATTTACAACAATATTAAGAGCTCCATAGGAGATACAGTTTATTTTAATATACAGGGTGTCCCAGACTAATTTACCCACACTGTTTTTTTACCCATATTTTTTTTCTATTCTATTTTTTAACAAAAAAATTGAAAAAAATTGATTAATTTAACAAAAATAAAAAATACACTGATATTTTCTTGATACCTTACAAACCCATTTTATTTAAAAAAAATCGTTTAAATAGACTATAGAAGACCACACATCCAAAACTATAAAAAAATGTACAGGCTGCTATTAAAAAATTTAAGTAGCTAACTAAGAGATGAATATTTAGGGGATGATTTTTTCTTCGCTATATTAAAGTGTACTACAAATGGAATAGACCAGTTTTTATCTCTTTAAAAAATCTCTAATTTGTTAATAAATATAGCCTAGATAAATTAGTCTGGGACACAACAAAAATAAAAAATTAATTGATTTCTTGATTATTTACAAACCGATTTTATTTTTAATAAATCTGTTGAATAGACGATAGAAGACCACATCCAAAACTATAAAAAAATATATACAGGGTGCTTTTAAAAAAATTAAAGTTAGGGGTTGTAACTAAGGGATGAATATTTAGGGGATGATTTTTTCTTCGCTATATTAAAGTGTATTACAAGTAGAATAGATTACTTTTCATCCCATTCGAAAATCTCTATTCGTTTAAGAGATATAGCGTGGGTAAATTAGTCTGGGACACCCTGTATAAGTTAAAATAAAAATGTCTCATAAAAGTGTTACAATTAAAAAGCGAAACGAAAACTAAAAGCTATACAGATAATAATAGTTAGAGTGAACTAAAATAACTAAAAATTTTTGAACAAATTTCTTCAGGGCCTTACAACTTTTTTCTGGTCATTTTACAATAAAAAGGCATTAGAACAATATTAAAGAAGGTTTTCAACAAATAATTTTCATTATAAATGTGCTTAATTTCATTAACTTCTCTGGGAAAAAAAGTTAAAAGGTCAAAAAGAAAATTTGTTCAAAAAAATGTTTAGTTATTTTTGTTTATAACCTATTTATTTTCAATTTTACGATAAAAAGTAACAGAAATAAAGTTGTAGAAAATTTAAATTGCTACAAATAATGTTTTATAAAATTTTCTGTAGGGTTGCTAATTTAGGAGATACAGCGCGAAAACCTTATGCCTCCCTTTTTTCAAGATGGCGAACGGGGACAAGGGTGTCGATCCCACAAACTTGAACTTAAAAATTGCGCCCTCTCAAAAATGTAATTTCAATGTAACTTTTCAATGGACTAATAAGAAAAACACAAAAACTAAATTGTCTGATGATAAATATAGGCCATTCAACATGTCTGACGACCCGAACATGTTGGAAAACAACTTTTCATATTGTCTGATGGAACTTGTTTTGCTATTTTCCTGTCTAAGGGATGAAAGTGCTCGATTTTATTTATTCCGTATTCCGTTCCTACCCGCTAAGGGTGAGTGGCGCACCCAGGGGGGTTTTGGTGGTTAAACCCCACCCTCAGGGCACGATTCCGACACTGTTACTCACAAAATTTAAGGACTTTCGATGCCCAACCAAAAACCCCACACGTTAATTCCAGGTGCGCCACTGCTAAGGGTAGCGGGTAGGAACTCTTTAAATTCTTGAAGATAGTCCTACCGGTGAAAATGAATCAATCCCTGCCCTTCGCAGATTCTGGGGTTTCCTAACCCGAGAAACTAGTACCTGTTTAGGGTCCCTTGTCCAGGGTTACGGATGAAGTCCACAACGGCAGCCACAGTGGAAAAGCAAAACTTCGGTACAGTGCGGATGGCGGAAGTGGCAACCCTCGATTATAGGGTTAATATACAATCAAAAGAGTAGTGTTTGATCCAGAATGGACGGCTACGAACAGCGTCTGACCCAGAGTGGGTGGCTGATATAAAACTCACCAACCCGTCTATCCAGCGTGGTATTTTAAGGCTATATACTCATCCTTCGAACTATATAGACATGGCGAATACTAAAACGAACGGAAACAACCCCCAGGTGGGTGGAGTATGTTATGCCAAATCCCACACCCAGAGAAAGGTCTGCCTCGTGGAATATGGGGCTGCAAGAATTCACTTAGTACACACAGAATGCATATCAGAACATATAACATCAGAACGATGAGGACAGAAGATAATCTAGAAGGGTTGCAAGAAGAACTTAAGACCATAAAATTGGACATAGTAGGCTTATGCGAGACAAGGCTTAAAGGCAAAGAAACGACTCTACTAAAATCAGGGAACACTCTGTACCAATACAATTAGGAAATAACCAAGATATAGGAGCCATAGGCTTTTTGGTACATAAGAGAATTGAAAACTTGGTAACTAAATTCCAAGCGATTTCTAATAGAGTTATCTATCTGGTAATAAAACTAAATCGTAGATACAGCATTTAAATAATCCACTATTATGCACCAAGTTCTTCTGCAGATGATGAAGAGGTAGAACAACTTTATGAAGACATTACAAAAGCCAGAACAATGACAACGAATATATTGGAAATTTTGGACTGGGAAGTAGAAATCACAGGGGAGATATACTCGCAAATTTCCTCAGCAAAGAAAAACTATTCTGCTTAAACACATTCTACAAGAAGATGCAGAAAAAATGAACGGCAAGTAAAAAATGAAATTGACTTTATACTCTCTAACTTCAAAAATATTGCTAAAGATGTTACTGTATTAAATTCTGTCAACACTGGTAGTGATCATCGATTAGTTAGGGTGCGAATAAAAGTAAATATAAAATTCGATAGAATAAAATTATTAACATGGGATAAATTACCAAACATAGAAGCACTCGAAATGAATCAAGAGGAATATCAAAGTGAACTAAAAAAGAGACTAGGACCTCTACCAGTATTCAACACGAAAGATATAAATGAAATAACATCAACTGCAAAAAAGATATGTGGTAAAAATAAAAATCCGAGAAAAACGAAATTGAAACAAACAACACTGGATTTAATAGAAGAAAGAAGAACATCGAAAGAATCGCAAGAGAATAAGGCTATCAACAATAAAGTTAAAAAGAGCATAGGGTCAGACTTATGCGAGCTATCAAACAAAACAAATATTGCAAACCATCGAAAACAATAGAAACATGACGAGTACTGAAATCATATTTAACTAAAGGAAAATCAAAGATAACTAAAATCAAAAACCAACAGGAGAATGCGGTGACGGAAACAACTCAAATAATCAAGGAAATACCAACGTTCTATGAGAATCTATATACATCTACTATACAGAACCCCAGAACAGACCGTAGAACAATTCTAAACGTCGGCAACATCGTGGTAGAGGTTGTGGAAGTTTTGTTGAATATGTGTCTAACAGAAAAAAGAATAGCCAGTCTGTGGGAAAACTCCCAAATACAACAACACTACAATTTTACACAAGAAAGGAGACACTACTAATATTGAAAACTACAGACCTATAAGTTTGTTTGGAAAACTTGGTCCTTTTTGAAGCCACTTATTAAAAACATTTATGAACAGGCCACATTCCACATCAAAATCAATGAAGAAGAAGAAACTGACAAAATGCGTCTTGGTAAAGGTATTAGACAAGGTGATACTATTTCACCAAAGCTTTTTACCTTAGCATTGGAAAATGTATTCAAACAGCTCGACTGGGAGCAAAAAGGTCTAAACATTGATGGTGTACGTTTAACTCATTTAAGATTTGCGGACGACATAGTATTATTTAGTACAGATATCAAGGAAAGAACAAAGATTACTGATGTCGCAGAAGGTATAGCAAGGCTCAAGTGGCAATGGGCCGGACATGTTGCCCGAGATAATCCCGAAAAATGGACACAGAGGTATTAACCAACTGCAGACCAAGAGATAAACGGCGAGGAGTAGGCAGACCACAGAAGAGGTCATCAGATGATATCAAACAAGTCGCGGGCAAGCAGTGGATGAGAATTGCTAAGAGTAGAAATCAATGGAAGCAAATGGAAGAGGCATATGTTCAGTAGTGGACGAATACAGGCTGAATATGAAGAAGAAGTGAACTGCTATAAACCAAGCCCCCATCCGCGTCTATAAACCAAGAAAGAAGAGGTCTATGTCCAGCAGTGGACGAATACGGACTGAAGAAGAAGTGAGCTTCTATAAACCAAGCTCCCATCCGCGTCTATAAACCAAGAATTATCCGAGAAGCCATAGAAATCAAAAAAAGGTTGAATTAGAGTTAATATTAATCAATAATCGAATCAATAAAAGAGATGACGGCGTCTGGTTATCTTTGACATGGAGACCTCTCAAAGAAAATATCGTCCGCTCCACCCTCCAATCAAAATCCTGCCGTCAGAAATGTCCTCGCCAACCCCCACGACAACATCACCTAAGCGACGTCACTATCGACGGTATAACTGCTCTGCCCAGTAGCAGTAATGCATTGATTAGTAATCAGTGTACGGGGTCTCGGATGACTGAGACCTCGGAAGTCCTGAAGAAGACATCAGAGAGGATGTCGAAAGCTCGGGGCAGTGATAATCGACTCGGTTTAACCCGGAAGCCTGTTAAGTTTAATATTAATTTTTGTAATAGTATTAATCTTAGATTTATGTTTAATTTATAATTAACACCTACACGGTATGACTTTGACATTTTGCGATTAGAGAGACAAACAATCATTGACTACTCTTTGTTACTATCTGCTACAAGTGTTAGAAAAAAAAGGCGCACTATTATACTCTGTTCCAGAGATATGATTGAAGAAAGTTCTAGTTGGTCACCCAGTACAGAAAACAATAAAAAATTAAAAGTGACCACAATAAAAAATCATTCAGCTTCAAGCTTCCAACTTTTTCTGTTTTTTGTTATTATGCGCTTTCAAATGCCACTTCAAACTTCTCCTCTGGCCAAAACTTTTATTACACAGATCACACTTAAAAGGTTTTTCTCCAGTATGAATGTTCATGTGGTCCTTCAGGAACCATTTCTGAGTAAACTGCTTCGGGCACACTTCACACTTGAACCTATTTTCCCCAGTATGGACGCTTTTGTGTTTGATCATGCTGGCCTTCTTTGAAAACTCCCTGGAGCATATTTCACATTTGAAGGGTTTCTCGCCAGTGTGGACCTTTACATGCTCCTTCAAGTGACAGTTGGTTACGAAAGGTTTTAAGCAAAAGCTGCAAGTGTATGGCTTATATCCAGAATGGATCTTCATGTGATTCGTTAAATTCTGCCTCACTGAAAACTTCTTAAAACAAATTTCACATTCGAACAAGTCTTCGCCGGTGTGAATGCGCATATGATAATTTAGATTGACTTTCTTCGAGAACTCTTTTGGGCAAAGATCACAAGCAAACTTTTTAGCGTCGCTATGGATACGCATATGGGTTTTCAAATATTCCTTCAAAGCAAATCGCTTAGAACAAAAAGCACACTGAAATGGTTTTTCTCCAGTATGAACTTGCAAGTGCTTACTTAAAGTGGCTTGAACTGTATATTCCTTTGAACAAATGTAACATTTAAAAGGTTTATCACCTTTATGAGTGGTTAAAACATGATTATAAACCTCTCTCTGAGATTTAAATGGTTCAGCACAAACATTACACTTAAAAACCTTCTCTGTGGTATGTGTTTTGATGTGCGCAGCCAAATGTTGCTTGAGCCTGAAAGGTTTTGAACAGATCTCGCATTCGAAGGGCCTCTCTTCACTGTGAGTAAACATATGTGCCTTTAACTTGTGCCTCTTGGTGAATTTTTTATAGCAAGTGGGACACTCCAATAAGTTGTCTCCTACATGTACTGGAAGATGCTTTTCCAATTCGAATTTGGTAGAAAAGTTCTGGAAACATTTATGGCACTGGTAAGTTTGTATATTTATATCATCATAATCAACTTTTACTGATTCATTCTCTTCTAGGTCAATATTTACTTCTTCAATTTTGATCTGTTTCATAGGAAATTGCTCCTTTGTTAATTTCCTCTTTGGTTTTTTGTTTATGTGACCTCTTGAATGTACATACAGTTCTAAAATATTCGAAAATAGCTTTTTACAGATCTTACATCGGCAAATGTTTCGAGATTTTACTAAATGAGATGAGAAATGGTATAGAAATTCATTTTTCCTAATGAAACTTTTGCCACAATAACAGATTATCGGGTGTTTCTTAAAGTGGGAAGATATATGTAGAAGTGTTGAAGTAGTCGTTTTGTGACCTGAAAAAGAAATTTAAGGTCTAAAAAGTGTGACAATACAACTGTATAGATATATCTTTATATACTGGGCTGTATAAATGGTTTGTTAACACAGTTTTCTCAACTGTCTAATACAATGATTTTGTTTCTTAACACAATATTTTCATTGTTTTTTAACTTCTTTTATTGAAAACAAATAGATCTCTAGGATAAACAAAATAGAATGATTAAATTCTATATGAAAATAGGAAACAGCCTATGGGAGTAACAAATAAATCAAAAATATGCCTTCGTAGCTGAGGAAAGAGGAGCAAGAAGCATCATAGATTCCATAACATATTTACAATAGCTAGAAATGACAATAAAAGAGGTTAAATAATAAATGAAGCAGAATAGATATCAAATTAAAGAAGATACAAGAAATAAATATATTGGAAGAAGATACATCTCCTGGCTCAACAATCACTGAGAAAGTGGTATAATTGCAGTTCCGTCGACTTGTTCAGAGCTGCAATCTCAAAAGTAAAAATAGCTGTGATGATTACCAACCTCCTTAGAGAAGACGGTACCGAAAAAAGAGGAAGAACAAAATAAATAAATAAGACACTATAAAAATTAAAGATTGGAAGATTGAAGAAATTAACTATTCAAATATGGAAAGTTTCCTTAACAGAACTTCTCTCCAAATCCAACACATGCACCAAGATCTCACTATATTTTACAGTATCTTCTTCTTCGGGTTCCTTCTCCTAGCGGAGGTTGGAAATCATCATCGCTATTTTAACTTTGTTGGCCGCATTTCTGAACAATTCTAATGAGCTGCAGCCGAACCACTCTCTCAAATTTCTCAGCCAAGACATTTTGCGTCGTCCTGGGTTTCTCTTCCCTTGTATCTTCCCTTGCATAATCAACCTCAGTAATACGTACTTCTCACCCCTCATTAAATGTCCCAGATATTGAATCTTTCTAATTTTAACAGTTTTTATGACTTCACATTCTTTCTTCATTCTTTGTAACACCTCTATATTAGTTACTTTTTCAATCCACGATATTTTATGCATTCTCCTGTAGCACCACATCTCAAAGGAGTTTAATTTTTTGATTTCAGACTGCTTTATTGTCCACGCTTCCATGCCATATAGTAAAGTAGAGAAGACGTAACAACGTAGCATTCTTGTGCGAATCTCTAGATTAAGGTTACGGTTGCAAAGTAATTTCTTCAATTTTATGAACGTGTTTCTTGCCATTTCTATTCTAGATCTGATCTCCTTTACTTGATCTCCATCTTCGGTTAGCCACGTTCCTAAATATTTATATGTTTTTACACTTTCTATCGCTGTATTATTGATGATCAGGTTATTTACATTTTGTGGTTTTTTTGAGAATATCATTGATTTCGTTTTCTTGAGATTCATTTGCAGTCCGTAACTTTCACATGCATTGTATACATGTTGTATTATGTACTGTAGATCTTCCATGTCACTTGCAAATATGACAGTATCGTCGGCATATCTAATATTATTAATGCTATTTCCGTTGACATAAATACCTTCCACGATATCCAATAAAGCCTCTTGAAAAATCACTTCACTGTAGACGTTGAATAAGAGTGGTGAAAGGATACACCCTTGTCGAACTCCTCTAAGTATACTTACTTCCTCTGTCAGTTCTCCTTCGACTCTTACTCTTGCTTTCTGGTTTTGATACAGATTCGATATAATTTGTAGATCTCTACTATCAATGTTTTTAGTCTTAAGAATACTTAAAAGCTTCTCATGTTGAACTCTATCAAAAACTTTCTTGAAATCTACATTTTACAGTATACTACACTCTATTATTTTTGGTCCTCAACTATTGGAAAAAATTAATCTACATGTTCCAGTAGATAAACAAGGCTAAATCAACCCTTTTATGCTAGATCCCATCACACAAACTATGGACACAATTCCTTCACGTCTAGAACACCAAGGTTTGCTAATCAATATTCCCAAAGGTTGTATTGTTATAGTATTTCAAAAGAATTTAAAACTCAGCTTAAGAACTGTGTGTGATAGCTTGATGTCCTTCCTATGTACATTCTTCGTTAATGTTTGTTATTTACTGTTCCTACTTTTATTTTTTGTATGATTTGGGATATGTCAAATTAGAGATTGTACTCCATTTGAAAATTATTACTAGCACAGCTGATAAATATCAATGTAATGCCATAAATCAGTGAGAAAGAATTTCAAAATTATTTTAAAGTTTTCAGTGAGTAAGATTCAGAGAAAAGAAAGAACCAGGAAGTAGATTGAAGAATAAAAACAAGCAATTATTAACATATGAGGTAACAAGACACTATATTAAAAGAAAAAGAAATAGAACAGCATAAAATTAAGGATTTATATAAACACACAATGTCCACTGCTATATGGTCATGAAACTTGGGTGTTTCAATATTTTGTACTGTCGTCACATGATCATATCATTTGAAAAACAGTTATTTAGACCCCTGCAAAGAATAATGTTGTAACCAGCATTTATGATATTCTTCAGAAATGATAAAAAAAGATACCAATTTCTTTTATTTCTTTTTTATACGTATGTGACATTTTTTTAGTGTAAGAAGTAAGTATATAGGTTAAATTCCTCTTTTAGAATAAGTACTTTTTTTATTAGTCAATTTTTGATATAAATATAAAGTTTCATCGAATAATCTTGTAACCGCACTTATGATGATCTCAAGATAGGTTCTGGTGATAGGTTTCTATAGCAAGTTGAACTTAATTTTTTTATCGGATATGGCATCACATTAAATATTCACTGCGCCAGGATTTGTTTCAGAATTATTTGACTTTCGTTTGTAGTGTGTAGTTTTTGAAATATGAGAATTATTTTGATACTCTATGGTACGATACAGTATTTTTCAACTAAAATTTGATTTGGTTCAATGTCGTATCTGTAGTAACTGTTATTCTACAAATAATTCAATTTTTTTATATTTACGGTGTTATTCCATTCAGAATCTTTCTTATTAATGCAGTTACAGCCACACCAACTATGTTGGCAGATAGAGTGTAAAAAGATACCCAAGAAGAACACTGTAACTCAAAATCGCCAAAAATGTTAGTAACAAAGTTATTCTATGCAGGGGTCGATTTTATCTTTATCATTGTATCAATTTAAAACAAACTTCAATTATCATATAAAAACGAACTTACTTTTTTTGCAAACTGGACAGGGATACCTTGTTTTCTTCTTCGATGATTTTTCAACTTTTCTTTTCCTTTTAGTACCTTTCGATCGTCTTTGAAGCTTGCTACTGCTGGGTTGATTCAAACGAGTTGTTTCTTCAGCTTTTGTTAGATCATAATCTTCACTGACTAACTCAACCTTAACCTTCACTTCATCTACTTCATCTTTAATATCATCGAGATCGTCTATATTTACTGACAAAACTTTAACTTCGTTAATATTATCTTTGATATTAACTAATTTTAAGCTTTCCGGTACAGGTTTTGTAACTCTTTGTTTACTGGGTTTCTTAGTTTTCCTAACTGGTCGTTTGGGTTTATTTATTTTGTCCAAGTCGGTTTTTGTTATGAAAAAATTGTCAGCTTTTACTTCTGTATCATATATTTCAGGCACTTCCACTGGAACATCCTCGTCGGGGGGCTCTACTTTAACGACGCCTAATGGAGCAGCAAATATATATTCAGTTTCTTTTATTTCTCCTACGCCGAGATCATTAGGTTCTGCTTTGATATCCATTGTTGGGCAATAAATATTTAGATAAAATGTGTTTCTTAAAATAGTTTTATACAACAGTTACAACTGTAAACTAATCTGTCTAGGAGTCTGCAGCCATATCTGCAGCAGCAAGTTTTACTTTATTTACTCTTTTATTTTTTGTGAACTGTCAATGTCAAATGCAATTGATGTCAAATCTGAGTAGTTTCCCATATGACCTACTTTACCTTTATGTCGGAACACTGAGACAAACGAGATATGATATAAGCGTCTATATTCTTTGCTACAAGTATGCTAATGTATAAAAATTTAATTGCATATTTCTATAGTACACAAAAAGCTACTACAAATAAAAAAACAGCCATTCATGCTGAATAGTTTTTGAGACATTACAACCTAGTCAAAAGAATTAAAGAGCTAACAGGAATGAGAAAAACTCTTCAAACTAGGCAACGAAGAGATGAAAGAGATATAAACCAGAAAATGCAGAGATGGACACAATACATAGCACAGCTTTTTGAAGACAAAGAGAGAACAGAAGCACCAAAAAATTTAAAGATGATACTGCACCAGATATTATATGAGAAGAAATAGAATATGCAATGAAGCAACCTAAAATTGAAAAATCTCTCGGGCCTCATGAAGCTCCCATCAAATTACTTAAAATTGTGGATACTGAATCTATTGACCTTCTTTTGGATCTATTTAATACCGTATAGGTATAGAACAATTATAATACCTAAAGAATAGTTCCAATCGAGATTAATACTGCTTCCCAAAAAAGACAATGTAAAGGAGTGCAATAAACATCGTACTATAGCCTTAATGAGTCATGTCTTGAAAAGTAATTCACAATAGAATACATAAAAAATTAGATGACACAGATGAACAGGCCTGAAGATGTTTTAAAGATAAAAAATATGTTTCTGCATAGTTAGCAAGGTAGTGCCATGGCTGAATGGCACTATCTCACGGGCTGCACTGTTTTCATCCCCGATTAGACTTGATCAGAAGTTATCGGTCGATTAACTGTAACCAACCAAAAGTAGTAAGATCTCTATGCTGTGGTATAATCATCGAGCAAAAAGATAAAAGAGGGAATCTAATCGTTATGAAAAGGAGACCAAAAAAGTGGCCTCTGATGGCGGACATATCCGGAAGTGCAAAGGCGCTAAATTTAAATTTTCCAACACTTGTTAACAATAGCTGTAAAATATTTTTCAGACAAGAAAGTTTTAATTAAATATTAACGATAATAGTCTAAAAAGTGACACAATTGGTAAAAAACTTCAATATAAATAAAATTTCATGTGACAGTTGGGACAAACAATAACATAACCAAACTAAATTTGACTTCTTAAACAAGGAAAGACTGTCTTTCCTTGTTTAAAGTGGCCTCTCAAGATAGCACTTCCTGTCTAACAATATTTTTGTCCCCATTACCTTTACATTCCCTCTTTTATCTTTTTGCTCGATGGGTATAATGTAACAGCGATTTAAAGATAATCAAAAACCGTTGAACTATTATTTTAATTTATTTTTGACAAAATCTACATTTTATATCGACAAAATAAATCACGAATTTGTCCACATGTCCAAAAAATGATAAAAAATAATCTATGGAGATCTAAACGCAAAAGTTGGAAGAGAATAGCAATGTCAATCCAGAATTGGTAAGCACAGTCTTCATGAGCATTCAATTGACAATGGCAATAGGTTAATAAACCTATATGTCTTGCACATAGGCATATATGGCATAGAGGATGCAAAAGGGGCACAGAACCCGGCAAGGAAATGAGGAATATAAACAACTACCCAAGAAGAATAGATAATAAAGAATAGGACTATACAAAATATTACCAAGATACGGATATTGCAACATTCATTAAAATATGACGGCACCACTACAATACCACTAAAATATGCTGACACTATTACAGGATCCAACTTGTAAATAAAATACATTTTGGAGACGCCTATCGCCGTATTCCCATTCTCCTCCGCCAATCCTCCCAGTCCAAACCTCTCGATTCCATCGCTCTTCTAATTCCTTCATTCCATGAGCGTCGAGGTTTACCTCTTTTTCTTCTTCCAGGAGGCTTCCGACTGTGAAGTTTTTGGGGCCAACGTTCGTCAGGCATTCTCAAAATTTGTCCAAACCATTTTAAACCTTTTCTTTCAATGGCTGTTTCTGTAGCATTCATGTTATTTCTTACAGACTCGATGGTCTTCCTTGATGTGATCTTGCCTTGATGTTCAAGCACTACCTCTCAAATAATCCATTTCAACTGCCAACAATCTTCTCTTCAAGTCTATGTATTAATTGTCCATACCTCAAAGCCATAACAAAGAACTGATTCAATACTGTTGTTCTCTGTTCCTAATACTTCATAAGCAATTTTTTTTATTATCGTTTTGAGGTTGTTGTATTCTTGTTCTACATTCATATTTCTTTCCAGTTCATTTAGTTCCTTTTCTAATCTAGATTGAAAAAGATGATTAAAACATGTTTGGAATAAAAGGTACAATTTATAACGCTCCTTTTTGTGCTGCATAGTATTGTTTGTCTCACTTTCAGTGTTCAGTTTCAGTATTGTTTAAAGGGGCACACAAGATTAGCTAAAAGAAAGTAGTGATCTGTCCCACAGTTATGCCCAATTTCAATTAAAAAGATATTCATATAATAATGAGACAGATCTAAAAAGAGGATCTAAATGAAACATTTTATAAGAACAGTAAAAAATAAACACAATTTTTTATTAATTTTTATTACATAGGTACAAATTTATCTATATTTTTATTATTTACATTTGTTCTAAAATATAAAAACTAAAAATCTTTATATAGCTAAAAAGTAGAAATTAAAATCTCATAAAACAGATTCATGGTTAATTTTTTATCAGAAAAGAAATTATCGCAAAGGTTGACACATGCATTTTTTATAACCAGTTTGTTGAACTTATGACACACTGAACGTACATTAATATTCTTTGAACTATAGTGTAGGCTATGACATTAAAGGTATCGATTTTATAGAGGGTGATCGATTATACCTTGGAGTTTGATATCTCCCTTAATAAAGGAGGCACAGAAAAAAGTATTATAGAAAAATTGTAGACTAGACCATAGCTGCATATTTTAAAATATTTTAAAATTACAGAGTATTATAAAACGTGGGAACGAATGAAAGCTATGTATTTTTAATTATAATAAATTAATGTTATATAAAAAATAGAACAATATAAATATGTGGACATGAAATGGTGAGTGAAGCACATGGAGAGGTGCAGTGACACAAAGGGAGAGTATATCAAAGAGTAAAAAATAAAAATCAATAAATATCGGGGACTATTATATAAAAAAACGAATAGAAAAATCTAGAAACTTTAACAATAACAATTGGAAATATCGAAAAGATTGTGAACCATTGCTGATGATGAGTAAGAGATTCTCTTAAATCACTACAACTAAAAAATAAAATAAATTTCCTAAATTAATTACGATTTAGGGATACTTATCATCAGAAGGCTTGAGATGGATACGGCAAAATAACGATAAGCTGAAAAAGAATCTGGTGTCGTGCATAAAAGACCTTTAAAATTGCTAAAATTATAGTACAACATCTAGCCTGAACTATGTAAATATTATTAAAAATAATACCAGACATGAATACGGTAGTTGTAAAGACATAAGACGATGTAACAGCATATTAAAATAGTAATTTCGTCGTAACGTCTCAACAAACCGATTTCCAAAGAATCGTTGTCGAGTTGAAGGTAAAATTGGGCAAATTATAGTACAACATCTAGCCTGAACTATGTAAATATTATTAAAAATAATACCAGACATGAATACGGCAGTTGTAAAGACATAAGACGATGTAACAGCATATTAAAATAGTAATTTCGTCGTAACGTCTCAACAAACCGACTCCTAAAGAATCGTTTTGGATTTGAAGGTAAAATTGGGCAAATTATTGCAAAATATTTACCCTGAACCATGTAAATATTATTAAAAACAACACCAGACATGAATACAGAAGTTGTAAACACCTAAGACTATGTAATGCCATCTTAAAATAGTTTTTTTGTCGTAATGGCTCAACAAACCGATTCCTAAAGGATCGTTGTCAATTTGAAGGTAAGATTGGGCTAATTATAGTAAAATATCTACACTGAACTATGCAAATATTATTAAAAACAATACCAGACATGAACACAATAGTTGTAAAGACATAAGACGATGTAATGATATTAAAATAATAATTTCGTAATAGTCTCACAAAACGATTCCCAAAGAATCGTCAATTTGAAGGTAAAATTGGGCAAAATATCTATCTATTGGGTAAAATATCTGTCTATTGGGTAAAATATCTATCCTGAACAATGTAAATATTATTAAAAACAATGCCAGACATCAATACAGCCGTTGTAAAGACATAAGACGATGTAACACCATATTAAAATAGTAATTTCGTCGTAACGGCTTAACAAAACGATTTCCAAAGAATCTTTGTCGAATTAGAGATAATAAGATTGGGCGAATTCTAACAAAACGTTTACCTGATCTATGTAGATCATTCATAAAAGCAATACCAGATATTACTTCAGTTGTATAAAAACGTATGACAATGTAACGCCATATTAAAATAGTAATTTCGTCGTAACGGTTCAACAAAACGACTCCTAAAGAATCGTTTTGGATTTGAAGGTAAAATTGGGCAAATTATTGCAAAATATTTACCCTGAACCATGTAAATATTAAAAACAACACCAGACATGAATACAGAAGCTGTAAAAACCTAAGACGATGTAATGCCATCTTAAAATAGTAATTTCGTCGTAATGGCTCAACAAACCGATTCCTAAAGAATCGTTGTCAATTTGAAGGTAAAATTGGGCAAATGATGGTAAAATATCTACCCTGAACTATGTAAATCTTATTAGAAACAATACCAGACATGAATACAGCAGTTGTAAAAACATAAGACGATGTAACAGCATATTAAAATAGTAATTTCGTCGTAACGTCTCAACAAACCGACTCCTAAAGAATCGGTTTGGATTTGATGGTAAAATTGGGCAAATTATTGCAAAATATTTACCCTGAACTATAGAAATATTATTAAAAACAACACCAGATATGAATATAGCAGTTGTAAAAACCTAAAATGACGTAATGTCATGTTAAAATAGCAATTTGGTCGTAATGGCTCAACAAACCGATTTCCAAAGAATCGTTGTCGAGTTGAAGGTAAAATTGGGCAAATTATAGTACAACATCTAGCCTGAACTATGTAAATATTATTAAAAATAATACCAGAGATGAATACGGCAGTTGTAAAGATATAAGACGATGTAACAGCATATTAAAATAGTAATTTCGTCGTAACGTCTCATCAAAAGGATTCCCAAAGAATCGTTGTCGATTTGAAGGTAAAATTGGGCAAATTATAGCAAAATTTTTTACCATAATAATCAACACGTGGTTTCTTTACCGTAACATTGAGGCAATTCCTTTATTAGAATTTTACAGGCGAATTGTAGAGGCTCTGCTGATAGCTCCAGATATTCCAAGTCACGTGGAGTACGTCCAAAATCTTCAGAACATGTTGCTGACAAAATTTGTTTGGATAGTGTGGGTCATTTAGTGGACAAAATTGAAATACAACAAAAGTGCGGCAAATGTTGCAAGTGTACCAAATATCGATGCATTAAATGTAATATAGAACTTCATCCCGAGCGATGTTTTGTCAAATTTCACATGTAAAAATTTTAAAATAAATAATGTTTTATGAAATATTGTGTCCTTCATTGCCCAGCGTATCATACCATACGTCAAAAAAGACAGTTATAAAGAAAAAAAAAAGTAAATTTTGCACATAGCTATTAAAAACAACCTATCTTTATTTCATTCTGAAGTTTTGATTTCGTTTTGATAAAATTATTGGGCAATATTGGGTTAAAATAGTAATTTCTTTGAAACGGCTCAACAAAACTATACCAAAAGTCTCCCATAACTTGATCACCCGTTCTAGATATACGTACAGTTAATCACAAGCCCAAATAGGTTTTCGACAGAGCTCTACAGGCGTAGATTTAGTTCCAATACATAAAACGTTCAGCAAAGATCAAAAAACCCGCTATATTCAACCGTGTCCTCCTTTATCTCTAGCGCTTGATAAACAATATCAAATTCGTCTTTAGCTTCGTCGGTTTCTTCAACTACAGGCTCGTTCACTTCCTGTTGTTCTACGACTTCTTCAACGGGAAGCTGTAAATGGTGCAACGCCTTCCAATGGGCGTTAAATTCTTGCTCATCGAAAAAGTTCCAGCGACAGATCTCACACTGCTTAAAATACTCTGCTGAGTCGTTGCCTTGTTCTGACAACAAATGGCTTACTAAAGTATCTTTATCGGGAAATTCCCGAGTACATATTACACAAAGAAAGGGAGTTTTTAAATTAATATGAGCTTCTTGTAGATGCTTAACTAAACTGTCATGATTGCAGATCTCTATACAACAAATGTTACATTGAACAGGTCGTCTATCTACTGCTACGTGGTTTTCTAAAGCTTGTTCAGAGATGAACGACATAGGACAATATTGACATGTAAAAGGCTTCTTCAGACCACACTCTTTGAGCTCTTCATGTTTAGTATCTAGATGTTCCAGAAGAGAATCTTTTGTGAAGTTTAATTCACAATAGGGACAACAAGCAAACGTGATTTCTTCAGGAATCGAAAAATGCTCCTTCTTGTAATGATTCAACAACTCGTAGTACTTAATATACCGTTTATTACACCTTTTGCATTGTTGCTGGAGCTTTTCTTGGTGTGCGAACCAATGATTTACGAACGAGATCGTTTTGGAAAACTTCTGTAGACACATAGTGCATTTGAAATAGCTATTTCTTATCTGGGAATGAGTCAGTAAATGTCTATTTCTGTTCGACTTACTTTTAAATAACTTAAAACATATTTCGCACTTGAATTGCGGGCTTAAATGAGTTAGCTTGTGTTGCGTTAGTGTCGACTTTCGAGTGAATGTCTTGGGACAAAGATCGCAGTCAAAACTTTTCGGGTGGCTCTTTAAATGTTGCTGGAGAGCATCGAAACTAGTGAGTTGTTCTAGGCAAACCTCACACTCGAATTGGGGCTTATTGAAGATTACGGAATCGTCAGTAACCTTCCCGTTCGTTACAAGATTGTTTTCAAATGGTTCTTCTGTTATGGTTACATGTACAGGTATCTCTCGCCTTGGTCTTCTCTTTTTTATGCAATGAATGACGTTATGGAAAAAATACCGTTTCTTATTGACGAAGAACTTACCACAGCTGAAACAACTGACAGGGTTGTACTTGAAATGGTAGTCGATGTGCTGCACACGAACATATGAAGATGATAAACCTGAAAAAAATTTAACAACTTACACTATATGATATATACACGTACAATATCATATTACATAATAAATTACCCATAATGGAAGATTATTTTGACTTTTCAAAAGCTTTTGATTTTGTTGTTCTGATTATTAGTATATATTTTTATTTTTTTATTCACAGGATATCCCCATTTTTACAAAAACTTAACAAAAAAACTAAAAAATTAAATTAAAAATTAAATTTTTCTGAAAATTTTATTAAAATGAAATGAATACTCAGTGATTCATTCTTCGATCCCTAACATACTCAGTCAAAGAGTGCTTAAATCTTATAGATTTTATATTCACTAGATCATAAGATTGATTAAAGTCATTTCCCAGTATGTGAATTCTGTTAATAGGAGAGAATTCGCCATAGTTTGTGTGATAAGTTTTTATAGAAAACAAAGGCATGTCTCTAAGAATTCTAGTACTACACCTAAAGTTGTTAAGACTTAATAAATCAAAACAGTCAGTGGTGTGGTCAATACATTAGTAGAGAAAAACTAGATCACATTTAATTCTGTAGTCTTCTAGGGAACTGATATAGCCTTAACCTTAGCTCTTTGGACAAAAAGTCTATTCAGATAATCAGTAGACCACCTTCTCCAAAAAAGTTGCTGGAATTTAGAGAGATTTTGCCAGATGCTAAGTCTATTTTCTGGGATAGGTGTATACTCCTAGTCTGGGAACGAGGTGGGACACTTTCCGATAAAGAAGTGACCAGGAGTAAGATATGTGAAAGGAGGGATCATTAGAGAGGGCACAAATGGACAGAGAATTAAGTACGGCTTCAATTTGGGTGATTACTGTACTGAATTCATCGAATGTATTTTGAGACTGTCCAATAATCTGTAGATATGATGCATACCTCTCTTTATAGTGCTCTCCCAAAGTCATCCATGATGAGGAGATCAAGGTGGTACTGTTTATAACTGAATTTAAGAGGAGGCTAAAAATTCCTGAATGGAAGAGTTAGTTTCATTATTTTTCACAAAATTATAGAGTTCAAATAGCTGATTATTAGCCCCATGTATTATCAGAGTGAATTTGTATCTGCCTGTACATTTTTTGTAAGTGGGAGGTGAAGACATAGGTATAGAGTCTAAGCCGAAGTAGAATGTTGAAGAGTTTTTCCTTTCAACAGGATGTCATTAAGAGAATAGCTACTGGAACTCTTCATGGAGCCATCAAAAACCACACTTAATTTTGTAGTTGATAATTCTTCTTTTATGACAGAGGGGTGAGGTAAAAAGTATTTATTTTTTAAGTGAACATTTGAAAGAGAAAGAAGAACCTTTTTGGTATGTCTAAGAGAAACATATTCATTGATAAATGTTTTATACTGAGAGTATAAATTTTCCTGTTTTAAGAGTTTATTTTATAAACTACTAAGTAAACCTTTTCCTAGCCATATTGTAAGAATAGCCTAACCTTTTATGTGCTGTTTCAGAAACGAGAGTAAGCTTTACCTGAAACCAACCAGAAGGTAAAATTTAACTTGTTTTGGTGAATAATTGTTCAGCCAGATCCTCAGAGGAAGTGGCCTTAACAGAGGGGGTCACTTCTTCAACTTTGAAGAATTTTCAAGTTATATTATTGAGCTATCTTCCTCAGATGTGGACTGGACAAAGAGACATTTGACTGTGTAGGGGAGAACTGTGAGTGATAAATTCCTTTAAGAAGTGTGCAAGGGGGTAAAGAACCAAACATAAAGTACTTTAAGTGTGTGTTCTGGAGAACAGGGAGTCTTTTACCTAAATGTATCAACCCATCTGATAACAACTCGCTATATATGTCACTGGCAAGAAGAAGATCTATATTTTCTCAAGGACAGAGTAGGATGGATATGTTTATGGATAACTGGGGCAGCCTACAAGTTATGTTAACTAAAACAGCACAGGAAATTTTGAAACCATTACCTGTTTCTTTTGTATGAAAATCTTTAGAAACAAATGACGACTGAGATCCGTTATCTAAAATACATTTAGAGTGTATGGGTATGCCATTCTTTGAGTAAATAGTAACTAGAACGGTTAGTCAGAGAAAAGTTATTACATTTGAGAC